ACCAACATTTCATGCTTCACTTTCTTCCAAACTTATCAGTTATCATCATTTCTGGTTATAGTAAAATCTCTGATACTAAAAGGTTCATATGCCCAGACCAAAAAAACCATTCCAATATTTCTATACTAACAAAAAACATGACGTATTAAGATAGTTTTTTTGGTTAAGTATTCAGTATCACATCAGACATTAGTGCAATTAAAAAAAAAAGTCTGCACCAGAGTAATATCTATTAGTAATGAGCCACGTAAATAACATGTTTTACTTATTTTTTACTTCATTCTTCACTTTGTGCATTTTTTCATCTCAGTTTTAATCCCTGTGGGCTTCCCACCCATTTACCTTTGTGCCATCACCATAGTCCTATGCACTCTTCCCATGCCAGTTTTGATCCCATTCCACTTTCCATCCTATACTATGTCTCTGGTTTAAAGCTGTTGCTTTCATTTTTACTTTATTATATTTGCTTCTATTTTTTTTTTCTTAAAAAGAAAAGATAGGCCCTCCCTGGTGGCGCAGCGGGTTAAAGCGCAGCACTGAGAATCTGAAGCCACTTCCGCATGAGTTCGATTCCCGCCTGCCGCCTGCCCCGGAGGAGACCACATGGCGAGCCAGACCTCTCCTGGCCTGCCCGCTGCTTCCCTCAGCAGTGTGCTTCGTCGATCTGCCTGTTCTGCTCCCCACTCTGTCTCTGGTGAGGCCTCTCACCGCCCCTGAGCCTCTGGCCTGTACCCCAGTTCTGTATGAATAAATAAATAAATCTTTAAAAAAAAAAAAAGACACAATGTGGTATTTTTAATAAGACTCAATGATGGCAAATACGATTACCACTCTCATACATTAATCTTGTTGTTTTGATACCTTTCTGGAAAAACAATGGGCAAATATGCACTGGGATCTTAAAGTATTAGAGCTGTTAATTCTAAGTTCTATTTATTCACATAATTTCAGCAAGTATGTGCAACAAAAAGCTGAAAGAAAAAAAATGCAAGAATTATCTCTTGGTAATGGGACTGAATTTTTCTTGTACGTATTTCAATTATTTTATGCTTAACATCCAACTGCTCTCATCCCTAAGTTTTTGATAAGATTACTGTATTTAGTAACACAGTGCTTGACTTATATTCAGAAAAGATTGTTTATGAAAAACATACATCTTCAACGGGTGGGTTGTACGATATATTAATGCTATCCCAATAAATAAGTTTTTTAAAATATATCTTCATATAGCAATTCTGAATTGATTTAAATTCTTCATTTAAACACCCACTGTTACGAGCAAATTCCAAAAGAAAATGCTATTTTCCGGAGAGTGCTTAACTACAACTGCTGTTTCTCATTTGCTTACACAGGGTGATAAGGAATGCAATATAGCCCGATAAGGCTCCCAAGTTTTCTCACATTTGAAGTACAGATACCAAACCAGTGGAGCTTTATTGCAGCTTTCAGTCAAAATATTTATCATCTGTGACCCAGGATGCTCCTCTTAATCTTTCTCGGCAGGTAGAGGGGGGAGAACACAAAACAGAGTTTAGACTTTGTAGTGTTAGCGCCTGGAGCCCCGCTATGCAGACACTCGCTATGTTTGCTGTTTATTATTAAGACTCTGCCTCAAAAGCTGTTTCCCAGTGTTACAGACTTTCCGCTTCAGGAGCCGGTAGAGAGGGCAGTCCTGCGATCGGAGGGCGAAGGCTCAGCTCTAGGACCACTTCTTGGTGACATTGAGGTGGCTCAGCTGGTCTTCCACCAACCTGTGAGCGGGAAACTTGGAGGTGCTGGCCGCTCTGATGGCTTGGAAGGCCGCCGCTCTGCGGGCCGCGGCGTGGCCGCACTCCTGCTCGGCGGTGAGGTACGGCACGCTCAGCCAGTAGTGGTTCTCCGCCTCGATCTCCAGGCGCCGAACCATGTTCTGCTTTGCGACGAAAGACACGGCCCGCGGCCGCCGGTGCTTCCCGATCCACTGGCGGCCGGGAATGCGATTGCGACAGAGGAAGGCGGTGAGGAACATGGCGCCTGCAAAGGAACACGGCCAAATGGCACTAGCGGCGCCCCGCCTCGTGCCCCTCCCGGCGCCCGGGGCACCCGAGAACGCGCCCGCTACCACGGAGGAACTGGGGGCACAAATAGCCAACTCCTTCAGCGCCACCATAAGCCGTAACTCACCGGTTTATAAACCGAGCGGTCCCAAGAATTCAGTCACCGGACACCACCTGCAACGCGCCCGCCTGTCGAAAACTCCGCCCCCTTCTCGCGAGATTCTCGCTATCGCGATAAAGACGCGCGACTTCACGGAATCACGTTACTTCCGACGCGAAGATATTCAAACTAGCGGCGGGCGGTGAGTTGGGAAGTAGGGTCGTCTCCAACTTAGCGTCCTGCTCGTGGTTTTCCTTATGGATCTGATTCGGAGCTTCCACGGCAAACTGCGGTCTCTGGCCGTCACCCTAGACTGCGAGACCGTCCGGCTGCAGAGAGCGCTAGACGGAGAGGAAAGCGGTAAGCGAGGCTGTCGGGCGTTGGGGTTCGCGCCGGCCGGGACCGCGCCCACAACCCCGAGTGCGGTGTATTAGCAGGGCATTAATAAGTAAAAAAATTAAAAATAATAATATTTTGCAGAAAAGATTATTTATTCTGGTGAGGAGAGCTTCTAGAGAGAGACGGGGTGGGGGTGTTACACCTGTCAAAATGCTGGGTGTTTATCGTTAGTCCTTAGGGCTGCCGGTACTACCTTTTCATTCATTCTTAAGATACCTCAAGAGTGTTGCCCCTGCTTTTAATTCTACTTAAACCACAAGGCTCTACTCAAGTACTGGAAGTAGTAACGTCACGAAGAAAGACGGTGTCATTTAGGAATAAGAGCCTAAATTGACACATTAAACTCACAATGATAAAAAATGTACACAACTTGTTTTTAAATTACGCATAATGTGCCCTTATCAGTAAAAGTATATTATAAACAAAATGAAACAATTTCTATTTAGCACAGTTCGTTGCTTGTGCAGTGACTTTGTCTCTCCTAAATAACCCACCGTTGCAGTAAATGTCCGTATTTTTCCAAAACAACGCATACTATCAACGCAAATAGTAGTTCACAATACTGCCTTTTTTTTACATAAACAAAGCAAACCACTATTATAATTCTATTTTTAATAATAACTTATTTTTACATCATTTTGTGTCTTTTTCCATCTCAGTTGTAATCCCCATGGGCTTCTCATCACAAAATCACCCGTGTGGCCATCACCATAGTCCAATGCACTTCCCTCCCCTCACTGTTTTTGATCCCACTCCCCACTCCATTCCCATAAAATGTCTCTGGTATACAGCTGTTCATTATTATTATTATTTTTTTTTTTTGGTCTGGTCCATTATACTCCTGCTATGACTGAAATCATCTGATATTTTTGCTTTTCTCTCTTATTTCACTAAGCATGATCTTTTCATCTCCAACCATGTTGCTGCAAAAGGCATGTGTTTATTTTTTTTTTGTGGTTGCTGAGTAATATTCCATTGTGTATATGTACCATATCTTTTTAATCCAGTCATCTACTTTTGGGCCTTTGGGTTGATTCCATGTCTTTCCAATTATAAATAAAGCAGCACTAAACGTGGGGGTACAGGTGTCTCTTTGAGTCAATGGCAAACCACTATTAATAATGTTTTATATACTTTTGTATTAAAGATTTTTTTAAGTTGTTGCAAGCGTAATTCAGATTTTCACACTTTATATATGTCATAATTGTACTTTAATGTATTGCATCCTGTAGATACAGAATCCTTTTATTTTAATTACATTATGAATAGTTTTCCAGCCATTTAAAAATATTTTGGTTGTAAAAACAATGTGTATGACAAATACTTTGAGATGTAGAAAATTAGAAAGAAGAAAAATATTTCCTATCAGAAGACACCACTATTAATAGTCAACTTTCTGCTTTTCTTAATTTTAGAGTAGCTTTGTTTTTCTTTGATTTTTTTACATAATTGATACTATAGGAGACACAAAACTGTACTAACATTTTGGACTCTTGACATTTGTTGAATTGCATTCCACAAAACTTGTCCTAACTTACCTTCTTACCAATGTATTATCTCTGTAGACAAATTCTGAGTTTTCTTTTGACTTCACGAAATAATTAATTATTGGATTTAAAAAAAATTTTTAACCCTTATGTCTTAACAGAAAATAGAGAATTGTGATAATTAGAAAGATCACAAAAAAATTTCATTTCTTGTGATCACTAACTAGGTTAATGATGAATCATTAACTAGGTTAATTTTTTTAACTTGTTAAGATGTAATTCAAGTAGCATAAAATTCATCTTTTAAATAATGCAATTTAGTGGCTTTTAGTCTAGTCAGAGTTTAACCAACTGTCATCACAATAAATTTAGATTTTAGTTACCTCCAAAAGAAACTCCTGTGCCCGTAAACAGCTAAACAGCTATTCCCTGTAATCCCATCACCATTTGCCACATTAACCTTGTATAACCACTGTCACCTTTCTGTTACTATATACTTGCCTATTTTAACATTTCATATAAATGGAATCATGTAATTTGTAATCTTTGTGACTGACTTAATTTCACTTAGCAGGGTTCATCCATGTCATAATATGTATAAGCACTTCATCACATTTTATTGCTTAATTTTATTTGTTTCATTGTATGGATATATGTAGCACATTTTGTTTATTCATTGTTTAATGGACATTTGAGTTTCTACTTTTTGGGTTTATAAATAATGCTGTAAACATTCATATGCAACTTTTGCAAAACTTTTTCAAAGTGGAAATAGGTTTCCACCAACAGTGTGAGTTGCAATTTCTCCACATCCTCATCAACATTTGTTATTGTCTCTTTTTATTATAGCATTCTAATGAATGAAAGTAGAATATGACAGTGGTGTTGATTTGCATTTCCCTAATGAAAATTGGTCAACTTTTAACAGGTGGAAAAAGCTCTTCAAAGGAGCTATATTTTAGGAAAGAGAAATATAGCCCTTTACAATTTTGCTTTCATATCTTGCACATGACCAAGTTATTGATAAGAAAGGTGACAGCACACTGGTAAAAGGTGTCTTTTCAGTAAGTGGTGCCAGGTCACGAGGACACAGATATGTAAAACAAAGGACAGATCTTGCTCTTAACTTAATCCCATAGACAAAAATCAATGCCAGAAGGATTGTATCTAAATCATAAGGCAAAACAATAAAGTTTTCAGAAGAAAATGTGTTATTGTTTACAAAAATTTTTAACATAGGACCTAAAAAGTATTTATAAAGGAAAAAATTGCATTCCCTTTTTCTCCCTTTGCCACCTTCCTTTTTTATCTGAGTGTTAAGCATGTGTATTCAGTTAATCAAGCTATATTCACAACAATTTCAGCATTTTTCTGTTACGTATATTTAGTAAATGCTTTTGTTTTTATTAAGACTTTGTTTGTACATATTTTGCATCACTGTTCACTTCTTTTGCAGTGTTTGCTTTTTTTCTCCGGTGTAGTGCCCCATAGAATTTCCACCACTATTCACCAGTGAACAATCACCACAGTTCCCTCCCTCATTCTTATCCCTCTCCCCCTCCCCTGCACAATGTCTCTGATTTTAGTTGTCTGCTTATTTTTGTTTTGTTTTGCTGTATTTTTTTTATTGTTGCTACTTTTTCCCTTAAACCCTTATTTGTTCTTCCTATAAGGGAAACCATCCAATATTTTTCTTTTCCTGTTGACTTATTTAACTGAGCATAATCCCTTCTAGCTCCATCCATGTTGCTGTGAATGGCATTAGTTTCTCTTTGTTGAATGTTTAGTTTATCTTTGTTTGAATACAGTAGTATTCCATTGTGCATATATACCACATCTTCTTGATTCAGTAAAGAAAGGCCTTCACACTTTGAGATTGACAGGATATAAATTACAAGGAAATGTTTTAAAAAACTGTACTAAATTATGTTATTTTCTCCCTTTTTTCTTATTGTACTTTTTCTTTTCAATATTCATATTGGAGAGTTTGAAGATTTTCCAATGCGAATTTTACATGACCTTCGTTCAGAAGTCCAGGTTCTAAAGGTATTCTGCAACGTTAATTTATTGTTTTTATGCGATAATTAAAATAGCACAGTAAACTTAGTCAAAACTTAGAGAATTTGTAATGTATGTACTTTCTTCATAATGTAATGTACTTTTCTCCCTTCATAAAAGGATGATGTCAGTATTCTTCTTGATAAAGCACAGTTGGAAAGTCAAGAAAACATTGGTTTCATAAAAGCAACAAAAGTACTGATGAAAAAAAATTCATTGGATATCATGAAAATTAGAGAGTTTTTCCAGAAGTATGGTTATAATCCACGTGTCAAGAAAACTTCAGGTGTGATAAATTTTATTTCACAGCATTTGTTTTAGTATTAAAAAAAGAAGGCAACATAATTAAATAAGTATATTATAGATGTGGCCGTGGCTCTGCCATTATCACATTGCCGTCATATCCCTAATCTTCATTTCTGATCACTGTGTACTCACTGTGTGCTGAGTACATTACTGACCCGATGTGCAGTAGGAAGACATCCCTTGCTCTCTGAAATGCCAGATGAGAAAAAACACAACATTGGTTGAAAGAAAAGTGCAATATAAATCTATTTAACTTAGGAATATTTAGCTTCTAGTTCACCCTTACAGTTTAGATAACTGAGAAGTCAATTATAAGGCATACTTTTTCATTTCTGTTTCCTTTTCTGCAAAATGATTTTGGGCTATATAAATTGGCAGTCTATTAAAGTAATTTCTAAGCTTTGTAGTTTCTAAAATTTCTAATTTTGGATCTAAATTACCTAAGTTCAAATCTCTCATTTTAACATTTAATGGTTGTATCATCTTTGACCAATTACCTAACCTTATACCTCAGTTTCTCACCTGTAAAGTGAAGATGTTAATAATATCTGTACCTAAGGTTATATAAGGGCTACAGGAGACAAAATTTGCTTAGAACAGTTCGTGGCGTGTATTAACTAACATCCAGTGTTAACGATTATTTTTTTCTTAAAAGATTTATTTATTTAGGCATACAGAACTGGGATACAGGCTAGAGGTGCGGGGGCAGTGAGAGGATTCACCAGAGACAGAGTGGGGAGCAGAACAGGCAGATTGACTGAAATATACTACTGAGGAGAGCAGAGGACCAGATAGGAGAGGTCTGCTGCACCATGTGGGTCACTTCCTTGGTCAAGGATTGAACTTGTGCTGAAGTGGCTGCAGCTGGCTTTCGCAGTGCTACACTTTAACCCTTTGTGCCAGTAGGGAGGGCCCTGCTGTTGTTATTTTTATACCTATATATGTGAGTGACTAATTTCAATACTCATCACAGTCTTTGTTTTCCTTTTTGACTTTAGATTGTCTCACACAAAAGACTCCTCATATTCTTTTTTGGCATTCTCTTTGATTTTTTTGACTCCCAATTTCAGTTCCATGCCAGTTTAATTAACCATTAGTTACCTAGGAAATGCCAAAAGAATTGTGGGGGGAAAGAAAAGCTTTTAGTAAATTATTTCATCTGAAATGTGCTGTTTTGTGATTAAGCATATAGGAATTGGAGCCGGAAGTAACTTACTAAGGTTGAGAAACGGTCTTTCTAATATATTTCTTTCAACTAGGTTGTGATAAAAGTGTGCCAGACTGAAAGAATAGAAATTTGTATTTGTGTAGTGGTGTTTTTCTTTTAACTTAGGCATTTATTAGTTAAAAATCTAAAACAGCATTATATTTTGTATTAAATCTAGATCATAACTAAATTCCACACTGCAGTTAATGTACTTAAGGAAAAAGTTTTAAGTAAATTAAGATGGGTAAATGACATTAAGGAAAGTAAGGAAATTGGACCGTATAAGGTAGTTATTGATTTTTCCACCTTGTAATACTATAGTTTACTTCTCTAATGTGTCATCAAAATGAGATCTGGGTGACATAACTAAGATGTCAGAAATTTACTAAAGGAACAGTTGAAATACAACTTTTTTTTTTTTTTTTAAAGATTTATTTATTTATTTGTACAGAGCTGGGGTACAGGCCAGAGATGCGGAGGGTGAGAGGATTCACCAGAGACAGAGCAGGGAGCAGAACTGGCAGATCGACGAAGTACACTGCTGAGGGGAGCAGCGGGCGGGTCAGCAGAGGTCTGCCACGCCATGTGTTCACCTCCCGGGCAGGCGGGGATCGAACTCATGCGGAAGTGGCTTTAGTTTCTCAGTGCAGTGCTTTAACCCGCTGCGCCACCAGGGAGGGCCTGAAATACAACTTTTAAAGAATGAGGAAATCCTTATGCTTGTTTGGGACATTTTAAATGCACATATTTCATGTGATTTTAGTATATAAGATTTCCTGGTTTGATGTTTGACCAGAATATGACCTCTTTGGTGTTTTTTTTTTTTTCCCAGTGGATGAACAAACAGTCACTGACTGTAAACCAGAGTCCACTGAGCATGAAAATGTTAAGAAATCTGATGTGAAGGACGATTTGTCTGATCCTGCTATTCCAGGCACTTCTGTTTCTGAGAAATCTCCACGAAGTCCACAACTTTCAGATTTTGGACTTGAGCGGTACATGATATCCCATGCTATGCCAAGCTCTCTACAGTCAGTAAACAATCATAAGGAAGAACCAAAAAATTTAACTCCATCTTCCAAAGAGTCATTAGTTAAAGTGCCAAAAACTCCAAAATGTGCACTAAAGATGGATGATTTTGAATGTGTGACTCCTAAATTAGAACACTTTGGTATCTCTGAATATACTATGTGTTTAAATGAAGATTACACAATGGGACTGAAAAATATGAAGAATAAAAGGTAATAGTTTTCTTAAAAAGCATATTTTATCTAACTTTCTGAATCTTTGGCATTCATTGACTTCTCTAGGAAAAATATGTTGCTGAAAATACCTTTCATTTAAAAAATTTTTTAGATACTTAATATCCCAATGAAATAGGAGTACAATAAAGTGTGAGTTATTGGTTTCCTCAGGTTAGATTCTGTAGCAGTGATAAGGACTGAATAAGGAAAGTATTGAAGGATAAAATTAAAGGAGTAAGTACTTGTGATTGATTTGCTATAGAGACTTTGGAAAAGAAGGGGATATAGGATGAACTATAGAAATCTGCCTTGTTGCCTGGTATCATGGTAAAGAAAACATTGAAGATAGGAATAGCTACAGCTTAGAGGTAGAAGTGGTATGTTTATATGTTAATTTTGAGATACCTGTAGAAGTGCTCTTAAGCTAAGGTATTTGAATATGATTTGGAAGCTCAGGGATGAATTTTATGCAAGATCAGCGAGGTTGTGAGGTATGGTTTAGAATTGGTGATTAAAGTGTTACCATGTAAATGAAAATAGCTCATATTATATCCATATTTCTCAGAACTATAAATATTAACAAAGTTAAGTTGAACATTTAACTAAGAGTCAGGAAAAACCATAATTTTGTGAAAGAATAAACACTAAATATAAAATAGCACTATAAAGGATCTTTAAAAGGGTAGAATTGATAAATTTAAGAATTGTTGTTATTTAAACAAATGCAAGAACTAAGGGACTGAATTAAGCTATTAGAAGTGCTAGAGGGTGTAGTATCAGGAAATTTGGAAAGCACAGATGAATGAAATACTTTCAAAAATAATTTAGAATTATCAACATCAACTTGGAGTAGAAAACTCAGAGAATAAAACTAAAAAAGTTATCAAACAACTTACTCCAAAAGTTTCTAGGCAGAGGTGGTTTTCTAGATGAATTCTTCCATAATTTCAGAGAATATACCTGTTTCATCTTTTCTGTAACGGTTCTTTTTCTGATAAGGAGATGCACATTGCAGTGCAGATACCAACAGCTTCCCTGAGGGTCTTCAGGGGTTATCCTATTTTTTCCTTACTAGTAAAATATAAACTACCTTAAAATTGATTAAGATACAGTGAAATTGATGGTCTTTAGTAAGAACTGCAGTCTGCTACCTATAGCCACAGGTTAAATCCAGCCTACTCTTATTTTTTTTGTAATTTAAATTTTATTGGAGATGACTTTTTTTAGAGTTTCTTTTCTGAAAGTAGAGTAAGTTTATAAATGATATACTCTTTTTGACACAGTTACTGATAAAAGTACACAAAAGAAACTATGACCCAAACTGCATTATGAATATAAATTTTTCAGCTGTAAAAATCCTAGTTAAAATACAAATTCAGTAATACTAAAAATATGATGGACAATTTCAAATTAAGCTTATTCCAGAAATGTAAAAATAGTTTAATATTTGAGAACTTATAGGATATATTCTTTCCTTGATTTGGTAAAAAAAAATTAGGATAACCTCATTAGATGCAAATAAAAAATTTGATCAAAATTTGACACACATTCTTCAACTTAAATACATTGGCAAATAAGTAGAAGGATATTTCATTAACATAGCAATATGAAAGTTGTCTATCACCATCTAACTTCAGCATCACTCTTGGTGCTCTGGCCAATGTAATGATGAGTGTTATATTGTTTTACTAATTATAAAATAGATCATAAATAAAAGTAAGCATTTCTGTGTTGTATTTCTAGGCCATGTTTTGTTCCTGAGCAACTCAAGAAGGTCACATCTAAAATAGCTAGAAATAATAAAAGCTCAAGAAAGAGATTCTGAGATAATCATTTTTAAAATATGCTTTCCTATGTTGACATCTGGTTGGTAAATATAGTAGGAAAATCCTTTCAAATTTGCACCGAGGCCCTCCCTGGTGGCGCAGCGAGCTAAAGCACAGCACTAAGAAGTTAGCCATTTCCCCATGAGTTCAATCCCTGCCTGCCCCAGAGGTGACCCACATGGCGCGG